GGTTGGGGGGGCTCAGGGGGTGGCGCTTTTTTTTGCTGCTTGGGGCAGCAAAAAGCTAGAGCTGGCCCTGGGTGGGGGGGAAGAGATAACTCAAAGAATTTCCTGGGAAATGGAAAATTCTGTTCTTGCCCAGCTCTAGCAATGTTCCAGTTATACAAGAACCATTGGATTTAGGGTTTTTTTTATAGTCCTACACATTTTCTATCCCCCCAGGCAGTGAGAGAAGCATAGACTCATAGAATTGGAGGACTGGAAGCGACCTTAAGAGGTCAGTTAGTCCAGCCCCATGCACTCAAGGCAGGACTAAGTATTATCTAGACCAGTGGTCTCCAAAGTGGAGAGCACGCACCCCAGGGGGTGTGCAAGAGGATCCTTGGGGGTGCGCAGCAGGAGGAGTGCTTTTTTTATTCTTTTTTTTTGCTTTGGCAAAAATGGTAGAGCCGGCATGGCAGGGGGTGCGTGCTCAAAATTTTTTTTACTGATAGGAGTGCGTGATCAAAAAAGTTTGGAAACCACTGATCTAGACCATCCCTGACAGGAGTTTGTCTATCTGCTCTTAAAAACCTCCAATGATGAGATTCCACAACCTCCCTAGGCAATTTGTTCCAGTGCTTAACCACCCTGACAGGAAGTTTTTCCTAATGTCCAACCTAAACCGCCCTTGCTGCAATTTAAGCCCATTGCTTCTTGTCCTAGCCTCAGAGGTTAATGAGGCAATTCTTTTACCTCCTTGCAACAAATCTTTTATGTATTTGAAAACGGTTATCAGGTTCCTCCTTAGTCTTCTCTTCTCCAGACTAAACAAACCCAATTTTTTCAATCTTCCCTCAGAGGTCATGTTTTCTAGACCTTTCATCATTCTTGTTGCTCTTCTCTGGACTTTCTCCAGCTTGTCCACATCTTTCCTGAAATGGGGTGCCCAGAACTGCACAAAACAGTCCACCTGAAGCCTTATCAGTGTGGAGTAGAGCAGAAGAATGACTTATGTCTTGCTTACAACACTCCTGCTAATACTTCCCAGAATGATATTTGTTAAAAAGAAAAGCAGCGTTACACAGCTGACTCACATTTAGCTTGTGATCCACTATGACCCCCAGATCCCTTTCCGCAGTATTCCTTCCTAGGAAGCCATTTCCCATTTTGTATGTGTGCAACTGATTGTTCCTTCCTAAGTGGAGTACTTTGCATTTGTCCTTATTGAATTTCATCCCTTTTACTTCAGACCATTTCCCCAGTTTGTCCAGATCATTTTGAATTTTAATCCTGTCCTCCAAAGCACTTGCAACCCCTCCCAGCTTGGTATCATCCGCAGACCTGATCAGTGTACTCTCTATGCCATGATCTAAATCACTGATGAAGATATTGAACAGAACCGGACCTAGGGCCGAGCCCGAGCCTTTCTTTGGAAAATGCTTGAGCCCGCAGACACTTTGCAAATGTGCGGTAGCTGCAGAGATCCAAACGGCAGGGTGGCCCGATCAGCTGCAGTCTGCTCTATGGCACAACTTCCGTATGGAGAAAAAAGTCTAAAGAGAAGCCTGTTTCCCCATCACTACGTATTTACATGAAAAGGACTCACATACACTTCAATGAATCCCTCTTCAGACGAACTCCGCCAAACCGGAAATTCAATTAAGAGGGCATGAACACCTCGCCCTGTTTTTAGAGACCATTAACATTGCACATGCAGAGTCCCTTCTGCAAAAGTCCTTGTTTTAGTAATGAAACTTTGCACCTAGGTATCGCTTTCACCCCAAGGTTTCAAAGCTAGGCAGCTGTTCTCCTGATTGTGCCTTGCGTCCCCAGCTGTACGAAGAGAGGACAAAATTTGCTCTGGGTCACAGAGTGACTCAGCAACACAGCTGGCCACAGAAGCCCAGCTGTCCCGACACACAGGCCTATGCTCGAGAACCCGCGGCTTCTTTTTCTGTAGATCTCTGATACGTGTGGCATAAAAGGGTTATTTAAAGACATAACTTCAGACCTTCATCTTTGCGTGTCTCCATTTTGATGGGCTTAATGTCTTTTGGCTTTAGGTCCATCAGCAGGAGAGTTCAGCTTGGGTTAAGGGGAGTTCGGACAGTTCAATCATGTTTCAATTTAGGGGTTTTAAATGCATATTTCTTGGGCGATAGGTTACACTAGGTGCAGGGTTACAAACGACAACATGAACAATGTGATGTTAAATGTGGGATTACGTGCTTTAGGAGAGGCCGCCTGTCTGTTTCACGACAGCAACATCTAATCCCGAGGTGGGCAAACTACGGCCCACAGGACCGTCCTGCCCGGCCCTTGAGCTCCTGGCCGGGGAGGCTCGCCCCTGGCCCCTCCCATTCTGTCTCCCCTTCCCCGGAGCCTCAGCTCGCCATACCACCAGCGCTCTGGGCAGCGGGGCTGCGAGCTCCTGCCAGGCAGCGCGGCTGGGTCTGGCCGGGCAGCACAGCTGCCGGACATGCTGCTTTGAGCGGCATGGTAAGGGGGTGGGGAGTGGGGGGTGGATAAGGGGCAGACGGTCCTGGGGGGCAGTCAGGGGACAGGGAGCAGGGGGCGGTTGGATGGGGCGGAGGTTCTGTGGGGGGGGCGGTCAGGGGACAGGGAGGATTAGATTGGCGTGGGAGTCCCGTGGGGCCTGTCAGGGGGCGGAGGTGTGGATAGGGGTTGGGGCAGACTGGGGACAAGGAGCAGGGAGGGTTGGATGGGTCAAGGGTTCTGAGGGGGCCAGTCAGGGGGCAGGAAGTGGGATAGGGCAGATAGGGGGCAGGGGCCAGGCTATTTGGGGAGACACAACCTTCCCTACCCGGCCCTCCATACAGTCTTGGAACCTCGATGAGGCCCTCAGGCCAAAAAGTTTGCCCACCCCTGGTCTAATCCCTCACAGCGGTGCTAAATTTGCCAGCGGGCTACTTATCATGACAACCCAGTAGCGAGAGTTTAGGCCAAAATGGGACATTCCCACATTTTACTCCCTGCAAAAATGTCAAGTTGCTAAAAGAAAAATAAGGAGAGGATGCCAAAGTAAGACCCGAGGAAGAGGCTCGGCTTGCCCTCAAAGTCCCAGAAGATTTTTCAATACCAGCTTTAGACAACTGCAATTTAAGATTCCCCAGGGAGCCTATTATCCTCCGCACACCCCTAAGGAACCAATCAGTGGGCTTTGGTATTTAAAGAAGCTGTGACAAGTATGACTAGTCCCGTCCAAAACATCCCTTCCACTCCCCCTCCCCCCCCGCCCGATGTGGGCATGTGAAACCACAAAAATGAATCCATCACTGGGCTTCG